CTCTTCTCTTCTCTTCTCTTCTCTTCTCTTCTCTTCTCTTCTCTTCTGTCCTCTCCTCTCCTCTCCTCCTCTCCTCTCCTCTCCTCTCCTCTCCTCTCCTCTCCTATTCTATTCTAATGTGTCTGTAAGAACCATGCTGCCAACCGTTATTCGATCTCCAGTTCTGTCTGTCCACTATGCTCTAGGCCCCTTCTTTTATTAAATGTTGTCAACATGTGCCACCAAAGAAACATGTCTTCTCTGTTGCAGTCCTGACCCTTCCTAGAGATAGATATATCTCCTACTCTCCAAGAATTTTGGAAGTCTCTTAAGACCTGGCTTGGTTCCTATACCTGGTGTTCGAGGATTTGGAGTACTCTGACAAACATTTCTTAAATGTTCCTGATGTGGTTCAGTGTGGGCAACCATGCTTCTTGGGTTACATATTTTAAATATTATAAGTTCCCAGAGCTTTTTTGGAATCAGGTAGCCTCAAAACCCAATATATAGTTAAATGTATAAATAGCTTCTGCTTTCAATACAACTGTGAATATTCCGCAGCATGCTGTATAGTATTTTATTTGTTTGTTGTGTTTATTTTTAAAATGTGCTTTTTAAAATCTAAGGTCAATTAAGTATTCCTTAATCACCATTTGATATGTCGGTTTAAGATTATGTTTCTCTCCTGAAAAGGTGGCATTCAGCATGAGTGAAAAGAAAATACGCCTGGTAATTGATGGTTTGAAGACTCGTGAAGAAAACCTACCATCTTCTTATCCTTATTCCCAGATAAATGCATCAATATATCTAGGAGCTGTTCCATCATTAAACATTCAGGTAAAAATGGAGAAGTTGTCCAATATGAATTTAAGTGGTTTTTTTACCCCAGATTATCTATAATTGCCAAGGCAGCAAATGTTTCTTTTTCTCTTTCAATTCTTTGTTATTAACAGAAAGCTAAAGTATAATACGCATGTCATGTTTCCACTTGACTGTCGCTGGACTGTCTTCATTTTGCCAGACCTCTACTAATCTTACCCTATAAACTCCATGGGGTGAAGATTGTAATATAGCATATATACTAATATTATTATTCCAATCTATGTTGGGTGTATGTATCTTCAGAATATTCCAAAGAAGAGTTTTGTGGGCTGCTTGAGAAACTTTCAAGTTGGGAGAAAACACATGTATACTTACCAGAAAAACAATGGTGTCCTACCTTGCTTGGACAATATTTTGGAGAATGGTGTTTCATTTTTCAACGAAGGAGGATATATTGTGATTGGTGAGTATAATAGAAGGATTTATTTATGCTGATCTAAAATTCTGCATGTATGTTGTCCTCCTACCACATGAGCACAGCACTATGGATACATAGAAAGGAATCCATAGAGCTTCTCTCTTTTATTAAATAGCTACTCAAAGAACTCTTGTATGAAGCAGTGTGAAATTGAGCAATACTTTTAATTTTCTTTTGAATGGAACTATTCCTTTTTTAATTCCAGAAAATACCTTTTTAATAAACCTCGAATATAGGATTGCATTTAGCATACGTCCAAGAAGTTTCACTGGCATTTTAATTCATGCTGGCAGCAATCAACAAAACTATTTAACTCTTTACATGAAAGGAGGCATGGTAGGAATGATTTTTGTCTTGTTCTCTTATCTCAAATGTTCCATTGTGGTGGGGCTGGGAGGGAGAGAATGAGTCTGGCCTGGAGTTCCTGAAATGCACGATCATTTGTTAGTGACGCTCCTTTTGAGGGATCTTTTATAGCTGTGATCGCCCAATATATTGCTGGTGTGCCTATTATGCCCTTTGACTCATCTGATTACTTAAAAGGATTTGAAGTGGGAAACTGGCATCAAACAAAGGAAGTCCGACCATCGCTTTATTTCCTAGAATGCTTCTGGCTTTACACAGGCCTTAAGAATTCTTAAAGAATGAAATGGTGCAACCTAGGACTTATTAGAGGGTGAATTCGGGGAAAAATAAAGAGGAAATGATAAAAGTACCCTTGGATTTTGACAAAATGACATAGAAAAACTTCAGTTTGCCTCTCTGAGAAATAAATATTTTGTAATTAGCTTTGCCTTCCATGGTAGTCTTTTTATTTGAATACCTATAATATTCAGTCATCAATCCAGATAAAGCCATCAGCCCCCAAAATAGAAATTTTACAGAGATGTGGTTTTCATATTCTTTATTTTCACAAACTGAGATATTAGACCACAGTACACAAATCATACGATAATGTTAAGTCTGGCCTGACCTCCCACCAAAAAAGGAAGACGAAAGGTGTCCTCTATAAACAGTATTTGGATGGAATTATATTAAAAGATTACTGTTGAGTTTTATGGTACAAGATGTACATATGGTGGATGCTTCTGAGATTGATAAAATCTACCCCTTTCCCATGTTAATGGCAGTACTAGTTGGCCTACTCTCCTGTATGTGTGTTGTTGTAAGTTGCCAGAGACCAGTAAAATTAGCAGTCCAACCCAGGGGAAACCTGTTGAAAAACTTCAGGTTAGTGAAATACAGAATTTTAAAGTTTTCTCCGGGAACTCTCAACAGATGGTAACCTTCCTGAAGCATAGCAATCTGAAGAAAAGCAGTCTGTTTCTAAAAGTGCTGATAATATTAGTATAGCTCAGAAAGTCTGACAAAGATGTGTTCCTTGTGTGTATTTTTATATTTAAATGTATTCTTATTGGTGGTAGTAATTGAAAAGTGTTCTCCTTTTCTCAGCTCACTGCCTCTGGAAATAATGGTGCTGGCGAATTTTCTCTGTCAGTCACACTTCAGCAATCTCTGTGCGATGGACAGTGGCACTCTGTAGCAGGTATAGTGTAGTTTCATTCATTATTTGTTTAAGGAGAGGGCAAAGTGTAAGTCAATGTGAAAGAACTTCACAAAAGTAAATGTTCTTTTCCAAGAGACAAATTTAGTAAAGTAATCCTTATAGACAACTAGAGGTTTGCCTAAAACAATTTATTGATAACAAAATTTTATGAAAGTTGGCATAATTATTTTTGCTGTTTTCCTTATAATGTACCCTTGATAATTTTCTGATATATTTCATCATTCGAATATTAGATAAATGTTGTAACTTAAATTTGTATGACAAAAAAGTATGATTGAAGACCAAATGTATGTCATCTAAATATAATATTGGCCTAACATCTATTTTCTCCTTTGAAAATTATCATTTGGAGAAGGAATATTTTACAATATAGATGGGAGAAGGGAATTTTTATGTTTTAGCCTGCTTTCCTTGAGATTTATTTCTCCTTAATGAGCTTCTTTCTGCAAAAGGTTCAAGACTCAAGTTTTGCAAGATAAAAATATAATCAACTCTATAAGAGTAGTTGTAAAGTTGGATAGGCAGGGAGGCTCACAGTATACATTTTAAAATAAATAAATGGGGAAGAGCAATTTGGAGGTAGATATTAATAGAACATTTAAATATGAGACATATTTCATGGTGCAGCATAACTTCCCTCTTAGAATTATTTCATGATTACTGCATTTACCCATCACTGAAAGGATTAACTTAGAATGTTATAAAGCAAATTATTTTCAGATACATTGAGAAATCGAATTGAAGGAAAAGCATGTATTTATTTATTTGTAGTTAGTCAGCTATTGTTTCGGGGGGGAATATGGAACTGATTTATTCATCTTATTTTTACAGTGTCTCAGAAGCAGAATATTATCTACTTAGATGTAGACACAAACAGAAATTATACTGCTGCACTATCACCTAAGCTTTCTACCAGCCATGCTCAGCCACTCTATTTTGGAAGAGTTCCAGGTATGAGATTTCTTGGTTTTGGAAGAAAAATAAGTAACTGTGATAATCCTCATTTAAAAACAACTAAGTTTCTGTCTCATCCATTATGAACATTCCTCTCTCTGATGATCAAAACAAAATCCATTGTTAATTGCCTGAATGGACATTATTATCATTTTAAAAATAAACATGTGCAGGAGCTCGGGGTGAAAAATAATCAGATTACTCAAGGTTTTATTATCATTTTGAGAAATGGCCCTGTTCTAACTAGCTATTTTTTTTATCAGGAAGGAAGGTTTTATTGATTCTATTTTCCTTTATTTAATGCAACTGGTAGTGATGTTGGTCAGAGGAAACAATATCTTTTGGGCACAGGTGTAGCAGAAGAATAGTTACAGTCCCCTCTAATCATGCATTCTAAATATTGATCAGGATTTGTTGTAATTCTTACATACAGTTTTAAATGAGACATATTAATTACAACTATATAATTATGATACCAGTGGTGGGATTCATTTTTTTTTACTACCGGTTCTATGGGCGTGGCTTGGTGGGCATGGCAGGGGAAGGATACTATAAAATCTCCAGTCGGAGGTGGTATTTGCTGGTTCTCCGAACTACTCAAAATTTCCACTACCAGTTCTCCAGAACTGGTCAGAACCCGCTGAATACCACCTGTATGATACCATTGTCATGTATGCACACATACGGAAAGGAACAATGTACAGAGGTACCATAAATTTCCTAAAGTGCTGGTTCAAGATTATACTGTAAATTTTAGGATATTTGATTACTTTTGGATGGTGACACTTAAAATTATTTGGGTAAATAAATACCCCAAAAACCTGATAAGGTGAAATTTCCTGACAGTGAGAACAATTAATCAGTGGAACAGATTGCCTCCAGAAATTGTGGGTGCTCTATCACTAGATATTTTCAAGAAGAGATTGGACAGCTATTTGTATGGAATGGAATAGGATATCCTGCTTGAGCAGGGGCTGGACTGGAAGACCTCTAAGGTCCCTTCCAATTCTGGTATTCTTTTATTCTGACTTTCCATGTTATTCCCCAATTGTGTCATACTATATTAGAACTCATTTTGCTATGGAGGATCTTCTTCCTATATTAATTACCAGGGGAGACTGGAAATTATGTATGTCAAGATTTGAAAAATACTCACAAATCAACTTTGAGTGCACCATATAGTTTACTGGAGTCTTTTTTGCAAAAAGAAGAAGCAAAATGCATATCATGCTTGTCTTCCCTACAGGAAATGGATCCATTTGCTTATATGTATAAATATGCACTAACCTCATTCAGATCAACTAAAATAGTATAATATTTTAGTTATTAGAATGACTAATGTGGCTTAACCTGCTAAAGAACGAATGAAGAGTTTACGGCTTTCCAGAAGCTGCTGAATGTCACCTTCCAACTGACTAATAGATGACAAAAAGTGAAGGTGATTCTGAATTTCTCACCCCTATCTAGCAAGAAAATGTTCAAACATTTGGTATCACACATTCTTTATACAAAGTTTACTAGAGTTCCAGAGGTGGAATTCAGCAGGTTCTGACCAGTTCTGGAGAATCGGTAGCAGAAATTTTGAGTAATTTGGAGAACCAGAAAATATTACCTCTGACTGAAGATTTTACAGTATCCTTCCCCTGCCACGCCCACCAAGCCATGCCCACAGAACCGGTAGTAAAAAAAAAATTGAATCCCACCACTGTAGTGTACTATTGTGAATATATGTGTTAATAGAGAGGGAGAAAGCAAATCAGCTAGCTACTTCATCATCATCATCATCATTATTATTATTGTCATTGTTCCTTAATTCTTCACAAAGTTCTTAGTTTATATAACTGGGTCAGAGAAATGGCTCCTATATGTATATTATAGCAGACTATATTTAATATGTATTATGCAAATTCAAAAAAATGATAATCGCATTGCTATGCATCACTATCAGTTTGCTTTAAATGGAAACAAGAACAGCATATTTCATTCAAATATATGTTGATAAAAATATTATCAGACTGTTATTTTCAACAATATCCAATTGTTCATACATTATATATTTAATCAATTTTTGTACTTTGTCTTTACAGTTAATTTGGAAACACCATGGCTTCCAATTCAGGATGTGTTCCTTGGCTGTTTAAAGAATATGAAAATTAATGACAAATCTATCTTACTAAACAAAATGTCAAACATTCATGGTGTTGTCAGCCTGGAAGGGTGTCCTGCCTATTAACTGCTCCATCATTTAATATGCTATATGGGTAGCCAAAATATGGTTTGATCTCTTTCTATGGTCTTTTGCCCTTGTTTCCATCACAGTTCAAATATATGTTTTCATAATTGAGGTCTGTGTTGCCTTTCTTTGAGGTTTCTTGAAGCTTTTGTGGTCCTATGTACAAACTGTCTTTGATAAAGCCACTTGAAATATAAAATGACCTTCTAATATAATATGGTGATATTCTGCTTTCAACAACAGTTGAGTATATACTTAGAGCAATTGCACTGACAAAATGCTGACTCCTAAGGCTCCTGAAATGAAAAGAACTCCCAAAATAAGAATTGGAAGATTCCTTGGACACAAATAGAACTGGATTTCACAGATAAAATGTGGAAAAATACACTGAAATATACATTGAGTAATTAATAAAAAATAATATAAATTGAGTATGAAGCACTTTAAGATATTTGGCATACTGGAGGTGATAGTCTCAAGAGTTCTATGACCAAACAAATGCAATTTTCATTTTGGATTTTTTTTGAAAATATCACTATGTTTATTGCACTTCCATACTTCCATACTTCCAAAAGTTTGACTAAATACTGACAATGAGTGTATAGGGTAAATTTATATAATTTAGCTTTTGTATAATAGCAATCTGAACATATTTTGCTTGTGTTAAGAAAATGAAGGTGGTTTAATCCTTTGAGAGCCTCAACCTGAAGTTGGAAAATCTGCAATCAAAAGCCTTTTTTAAAAATATAATTTTATAATTTGGCTGAATGATTTATAAATATCCTAGATTGTAATTTTATGCAGGGTTTCTTACAAATTTTCTTTAACCTATATATTGCACTGACCACTTAAGAAATTAAGAAATACTAATTAGGAATAACCAACTGAAGCATGCCATCACTATACAACCAATTTTTTTAAAAAAATGTTTATTATAATTAACTCAAAGTCAAAAATATTAGCTGTGTAATCCTATGGTGCTTCCATTCTTGAAAGCCCGTTTACACCAGTGCATCAGCAGCAAAGTATATCTGGCACTCAAATGTTGAATAAATGTTGAAAAGCAGACCCGTTATGCTACCATTTGTTGCAATTCTTGCTCACCAGAAGAACTTAAGTTTTAAAAAATTAATCTCATTTGGAATTCTAGGTTGCATCTCCAGTCTTAAAACAGAATAATTCTAAGATGGTTGTGGCATAATGCAGAGGGACACCTGGTGGTATGCTGATGAATATTTGAGAACTGGTTCTGCCTACTCCCTTGCTGCTGCTGTACTACTATTCTCCCCCAAAATGGGTGATGCTAGGGCACAGAGGAATTTAATTTTAACTTAATTCAGATAATATGATTATTCTTATATATTTAATATTTCTCGTCTTGCAACACATTTAAAATTACAATCTGGTAACAATTTTTGGAGACATTCTGAGGACCTCCAGAAGTTATACTCTTATAACATTATTGAGTGTAATAAAAATAGGAATACGGGTTAAATTTGGAATAGTCCTCAGGTTAAAACCATTCATTCAGCAATTATTCAACGTTACGGCAGCACTGAAAAAATGGTATTGATGATTGGTCCTCAAAGTTCCAGCTATTGCAGCATCCCTGCGATCACCTGATCACTATTTCTGATGTTTCCTGCCCCCTTCCCACAAGCAGGGCAGGGAATTCCTGATCATATGCGGTCTGTGCTTAACTATGGGAAACGGGACTGTCAGAATTGCCACAGTAATATATTTGGCACAAATATTGTATTCAATAGGGCTTGCACCAGAAATCTCAGAGGATTATGAAAACTATTTCACACCATTGAATAATAAACAAAAGATTAGGGATGGGATGCTACCGGTTTGGTCTGGTTCTATAGAACCTGTAGCTGCAAAGATCAGCTGACACCAAACTGGTTCGGTGTTTAGCCCCCCCGCCTGCCCGGGCTCTAGGCTGTTCTTTATTCCCTGCTTTTTCCTCCTCAGCTGCTTTGTGTGGCACAGCTGAGGTTGAAAAAGCAGGAAACGAGGATTTTCAAATACTTAGCACCCGTGCGCAGCGCTTGTCAGCTGTCCAGGCGGCACAGCTGATGATTTCTTGCAAATGCTGCACGCACGATTGTCCCCAGTTTGGAGAACTGGCAAATTGCTCCACTGGCTGGCCCCTCCCTCCCTGCCCACTCACTCCTTACCTGGCATGGAAGCCTTCCAACTTGCCTGGTTTGGTAAGTTGCTATTTTTCCTTTTTCCCCCCGACCTTCTGCTCTGCCAGGAGATTTAGATTAGCTAGAAAGCAGGAAATCCTTGGATTTCCTGCTTTCTAGCTAATCTAAAAGCAGAGCCGAACCTTCCTTAGGACTGAAGCTTTTCAGTGCAGACTCAGGTAGCCGATTGCAGATAGATAGATCTCTAAATTAATCTGTGATTCTGTGAGCAACTCAATCTGCCTGCCTGCTTTGCCTGCTTTTGGGTAAAAGTTGCTCTTTTTTTAAAATAAAAAATTCAATATTTACATACATGGTGTGTTGTGAATTAATTTTGTGAGTTTGTTTGCTTGCAAATTTCTGAGTTTGCTTGTAAACAAATTTTATGTGACAGACTCAGGTAGGCGATTGCAGATAGATCTCTAAATTAATCTGTGATTCTGTGAGCAACTCAATCTGCCTGCCTGCTTTGCCTGCTTTGGGTAAAAGTTGTTCTTTTTTAAATAAAAAATCAATATTTACATAAATATTTATAATATTTTCATAAAAGCCATGCTCACCCAGTCACATGACCACCAAGCCATGCCCAGTCAGCAAGCCACACCTACCCAGACACATGACCATTAAGCCACACCCATAAATTAGGCCAGACCCACAGAACTGGTTATTAAGAAATTTGAATCCCACCCCTGCAAAAGATCATACGTTGCACCTACTACACCTTCTATAACTTTCAGACAAATACAAGAATAGGTCCACATTAAAATAGTCTAAAGATAGGTTAATATTTCACAAAGCATTCAGCTGGATTGTTGCAATGTAGGGAAGGGCATGAAAAGTCACCACAAGCACTCCTAAGCATTATCCTTCTCATCTTTTCTACTACCTTCTCTTATTGGTATCTTATTTTACTCTGTTATTTGTATGTATACTGAGAGTTTATGCACCGGAGACAAATTTGTTGTGTGTCCAATCACACTTGGCCAATACAGAATTCTATTCTATTCTATTCTATTCTATTCTATTCTATTCTATTCTATTCTATTCTATTCTATTCTATTCTATTCTATTCCCATTCCCATTCCCATTCCCATTCCCAACACCAAGATCACCCCTAAACTATGTACCTGCAGAACTGCAAGCACATTTAGGAGTCTCTTCACATATTAAAATGGAGAAACCTCCCAAGATAAATTAGCACTTATTGGTATATTAGGTTTGTGCTTTGGCTTACTTGTATAATTCATCACATTTTTTTTTGTAAACCATCTATGAGTTCAAGTAATACACTCCATAGCAGTAAAATTCAACAATATGTTTTACCACAGGACAAAGGAGCCATGCTGATGCTGTTCCTACCAGTTTCTTTTGCTTTCTAATCATCCCTGCCCTCTTCTCTTGTTCCACTTTGTATAATATGTATACAAACATCTGGTGACTAAAAAAGGGAACAAGCACATTCATATGCATCTAATGTATCATTAAACAAGTGTCTATTTGCAGCTGCAACTAGCAATTATTCGTCCTACTATTTTCCCATGCTTCCTTTTCTCTGGTTTCCTGCTTCCGAAAGTCAGCTGAAACATTCTTCTCTTGCACAAGGAAAGCTTCAAATGTGCATAGAAAAATTACAATATCTAAGTCACACTATGGAAATTCAACAGAATATTGCAACAAATCCTTCTTGCTATGACTGCTCATTCTTTTGTTTCAGCCAATGAAATCTAGCCATCATAACTTTTTCTAAGGTTTTATGACAATTTTATCAACCCTCTAAGCATAATTTCTTCATTTATAAGGAAACCTGTAATTAAAAATGAGAAAAATGAAAGGTGATCAAAAATGGATATTTTGTTCTTGCAAACACTCCAATGGAGTACTTGACAAACTGGCTCCGCTTTGGCCATCTGTATTTTCTCCAAGGCAGGTCAAAACATTTTTGCAGGTGCTTTACTGGAATTATTACAAAGATATGGGCCCTTCTTTTGCTTTCCTGATTTCTGAATTGGAAAAAACAAAAATTATCAAGGAAGAAAGAAGAAAGAATGAGCTTTCCCTTTTAGATAGCTGAAATGGACAGATCTCTTTAAAATACATTTTTCTAATAATTACATGCATATAGTTACAATTACATTCATACAGTTTCAACTCTGAAAACATTCTTTTTTATTGGAATTACATATATGGCAGGAATCTTTGCTTAATCTCTTTCTACTGACTTCTGGCCCCCTGAATGATTCATTGAATCTTGAACATAACAATCCTTGAATACTATATCAGGTATGAATTTCTGACGTATTGATGTAAAGCAACCTATGAATCTGAACAAGTGGTTACAATATATAGATCATAAACTCTTAATGCACTTACTAGAATATCACAGTTAGAATCTGGTAAAGAATAGTACTGAAGGCTGAGAGTTCAAACTCCTTGATGGAAACTGTTAATTCGTGGTATTGTTAAAGCAAGTGCCTTCCTTTTCTGAATGCACTGCAACAGAATTAAAAGACATCATTCTATTTACAAATGCTGTTTACTTCAATTCGTTGCTTTCTTAAAATTTTATCATTTATTTGTGCATGTATAGTATGCTGACAACCTTTCTGTGACAAAATTAATATGGTGCTGAGTGAAAAATCTGGAGCAGGTGAAAAAAAACCCTCAGAGGTTTGATAATATGTACATCTGTCTTTCTATTTAGCGTTATTAACTCTAGAAAGGAACTGTGCATTCAGTAATCTAGTGAACAAAACACTGCCTTTAGGACTTGATTATGACCATAATACTCATATATTAAATACCTTGTTTAATTATAACCTTTAAAAATACTTGAATTCAATCATGCTTTAGTATAGCGTTTCTGAACCCTAGAATGTTGATGTACAAATCACGCACAGCTTTGTTTTTCGAATACAAAAGACATGTCTTTCTTGAAAGCAATGTTCTCTCAAGCAGGCTACAGCATTTGTCAGCTGTAGCCTCAGATTAAGTTCAGCATCCAGTTTCTTCTGATTTGGAATGACAGTAAGGATCAGCACAACATATTTTGTTGTTTTGGGTAAAGGATTAAATCCTACTTCCTCCCCTCCTCATTCAATAACATAAAAAACCTAACAGGATTAGCAGGGGAATTTTATTTCGTATACTGCACTTAGTACACAAGGCTACATTAGTACAATGCAAGACGTTTCAAATTGTTTTATATTACAACTCCCATAAGCACTTTCAATTGGCCATGCTGACTGAAACTGACAGAAATCAAAAACCCCATGAACATTCTAGTTTGCAGTTTCTCAATCTTAGCAACTTAAAATATAGGTTTCTACTCCCAGAATTCCCCAACTCATATGGCTAATGAGAAATCTGGGATTTCAAGTCCACACATCTTAAGGTTGCCAAAGTTGAAACTGACCTAGAGAGCACCAGTTTATCTATCTAAAGTTTAGGAAGCATAAGTCGGGCCCTATAACATAAAAATTGTTGATGAAATCTCATTGCTTTTCTCTACCCTCCATCATATATTTCCTAATGGTTCCATTTATCTACTGAAACTGCCAACTTCAACAGAACATGGGGAAAGTTTTATTTGAAACTTCTGCTCTAGAAATAAATAAATTAACATGGCAATTGCATTGTTAATTTTACAGGCCAAGCTGTACAAGATTTGGAAGAAGTATAATTACATTTCCCATCCTTTTGTGATGCTTAAAAGTTTCAAACGGAGAAAAAAATAGAAAAAAAAACCCGTGCCAGTGCCTCCAGCTGGTTCTCCTGCTACAGTTTGTTATCTGTCATGCTAATATTCGGATTTTCACCTACTCACAGAGTATGAAATATTTACATATACATTTCATAGAGGAAAACTCAATGCTGGAATAGAAAACCACCAGAATGTAGTGTTTAACAATTTCCCATTATGTATTTTGAAGCCATCTCTTTCCCTTAGCACTTCAGGCCAGTTGTCCCGAGAATGAAGGACAGAGTGCCATCTTACCTATTTTGACTAGTAAATCCATTTGGAGAGCAGTAATTATAAGCAGCACCCTCTCCTGCTTCTGCTGGTTTACTCATACTTTTGGCCTTCTATTTCTGCCTTTCCTTCAATACCAGAACAGAAGAATATAGTCATACGTAGCTTAGAGTTTCAGAACCAAAGCAAGAAGCCTTGAGCAGATTGTTCTAAGCATCAACACTCTGCTGCCTACATAAAATGCTGTTCTTGAAATGTTCATGAAAATTATTATGTTTGAATGTGCATATTTAATGTGTTAAGGTTGCGGAAAATTCTTCCACTTTCGGGAGTTACTGAATAAAATGAACACTTGCATCAGTTTTATCCCTAAATTATAGACTAAGCTTTATTATTGTTTCAAGCACATGCAGCAGAATCTGTAGAATATTACCCCCAAATTATATATGAGACATCAGAAAGAAACACACTTGCCAACGTCTTTAATTTTTAAAAATTAAAAAAGAAAATTTATAAATTAAAATAATCTTTAAAAAGGCCTTCCATAATCAAGCAAATGTGGGTACTATTTATTATTGTCTAGAAGAAGATAATCCTTAGCATTTTTGGTGGCTTATGGAAAATGTCCAATTTTTTAATTTCAAGTGGCCACGTGATCACTTTTGACATGTTGGGAAAGGAAGCATTTAACTCTTTTTTTTAAGGACATTTCCTCACTTGAAAGAACATGGACCTATTTTCTTCTGTGGTCTTAACAATGTATGGAGGAGAGGATAAAAGAGATAATATATAATATACCCAAGGAAGTAGCCATGTGCAACATAGCTAAACACCTCACAAAATACCAAAAGTTGACATATTTTTCTCCAATTTAAATTGCTATTACATGTTATTGTTAGATGTTTAACAGCATAAACCGTAATTTCTTGCAAAGATAAACAATGCCAGATTCCAGAGTTTCATACCATTCACAGATATCAAGGTTATCAAAACAAATGAAAAGGAAGAAAAACAGATGAAAAATCCTGCTCCTACTCCTATAGGTTTCCAAAATAACAATGTGACCACGGGGAAAATTGCCTATCTATGCTTTTAGTTTCTCTGAGAAATCAATAAAATTCTATCTCTGAAAGCCTGTTACAGCCTATTATTATTATTATTATTATTTTGCTAGTTTACTGAATCTATTTGCTATGATATCTAGAAATGGCTTGGATATTGTCACTGAATTCTGCACATTTCCCCATTATTCCAGTATACTATCTACAGTTTCATTGGTAGAAAAACAATCTGATTTGTCCCAATGTTTACTTCCCAACTGCCATCAAAGCTGTATGTCTGCCTATTATCAAGGACAATGCAGAATTAATAACTGGATTTTACAGCTTAAAAATTGTTCTTTCAGCATCCAATCAGTCCTTGAGCAAAATCTGGATGCAGCATAAAATGATGATAGGAGGCTTCTCTACGGCTTAAAAATCTGAACCAATTATCTAGCAACTCAGCTTCTCTTTCAGAGTTGACAAGTGGATGGATTCCCTTAGATGAGAATTCCAGTCTTCAAGGAGCTTCTAGAATTTCCTATTTTCTGTAGCCAGCTGTTCCCATTCTTTTCATTTCTTTACCCAGGCCTTCAGTGGGGCAAATAAAATACTTCATCTATCATGCTTATCACCTTTTATCTGTGTTTTTGATTTTATCATTTCTTTGATTGATGTAAGCCTCCTGCAATTGAGAATGGGGTAGCATACAAGTTTAATCAACTATAGTTGATAGCAAGTCAGCCAGAAGTTTAGATATATAAATCTCTGAAGAAAATACATTGGGAGAAATGCCATATATTGGTGATGTTTATCAGTATGAATTTTGCAAAGAGTAAGATTACTATTTGCTTTCACAAAAATGTTCTGGACCAGTTCTATGATTCTGTAAAGAATACTATTTTAAATTATGTGACAAATTTTAAAATGTCACTATAGTATTCCCAATTTGAATGAAGAACACAGAAGGGGTGTTTTAAAAAAAGCAAGATACTACCTGTGTCTCAAAAGTGCTTTTTTTCTTTAAAAGGCAACTGGACTGTTTTTTCCTTAAGAAAATATTTTGCTTCTCATCCAAGAAGCTTAATCAGTTCTGATGGTGGGGAATGGAATGACAGATTCTGAGAAGATGGGGGTGGTGGTGGAAGAATTGTATTTATTTGCAGTCATTAGCACTCTCTGAGAACTTTTGAGGAAACCTGGAGGTTTATCTATAGCCTCAGGGTCATCTGAAATCAGGGTGCAATTGGTTATGGAATCTTACCTGTTCCTCTGTAATTGTAAACCCGTCCTTTTCAATATACTGTATGCACTTTAAAAGAGATGGGCTTCAATTGCACAGCTGTGGCTGCCATCTTGACTTGTTTTGTTATCCCACAGCATATATCTCTGTAAGGGTAAGGAATAAGGAAATTATTGGGAAATAATTTCAATGAATGAATTCAGTGTATGGATTGCTTGACCATAATTTATTGGCTGGGTTGGCAAAACACAAAACTATTAGCAATTGTTTACAAAGCACGGCAGCTGAATTCTCACAGTATGCTGTGGCACAAACAAGCACACTAACTATGGCTTAGTGGAAAACATAAGCCCATTTTTTTTAGAACTTCTCTGTAACAGGCTAAAAATAAACTCTTAGCTTACATCTTGAGACGATTTGTACTTTATTTAGAACTGACAACAATCACACGAATAAATGTCTGACATGGGAAGAAACAAAAAGCATTTGAGATTAATTTTACAGTATGCAAAGCCTTGCAAGATATTTCAGGAATCTTTGGAATATTTCTGATCTTTTTAAAATTTGTCAATAAATAGTTTTTTTTAAAAAAAATGCTGCAGAAAGGGGACCTGTTAAAAATATCGATTAAACAATATTTTTTGTTACTGAATATCAAAACCCAACTATTCTTACCTAAAAGAACTTTTGCATTGGTTAAAACAGTAATAAAATGACCAATTAGCAATTTAAGACCCCGACTTAAAACGTTAACTGGATGCAGGATAAATCTGACCGCTGTTCTTAATAAATAATGGGCATTGAGCATCCACAATAATAAAGCAAGCGGTGGATTTTTTTTATTTTTATTTTTTTCAATGCCGGCCACATAACTCAGTATTTCTCAACTTCCAGCTGCTCCTTTCCGAAGTCAGAAAGATACGCCCTCTGTTTGCGTATGAAGCTAGTGGAAACCCCCAGTGAATTCAATAGGGCTCAGTCTCAGCTACGTGTGGGAGATGGCAGATTCAGTTCCCCATCGACGCGGCTCCAGATAAACGACTCGTACACCCGGCGGGGCATCACCGTAGCTTAGAACGGGTTGGACATCGCTCCAAAGCCAGAAAAAGTAGCATCATATTGAAACTTCGGATAGGATTGTCCGATTGTAATCGTCTTGTTCATTACCCGATTCCCCCCCCCCCTTCTTCCCAGCGTTTTCCCTGTAAATATAGGGATCCGTTTTACGGATCCACCGAGCGTTGATCCATTGGTTGCGACAGGAACCTTGTTGCGGAAACCTCGTGGGCTGCGAGTGAGTGACTGACCCAAAGTTACCCAGACGGCTTTCAATGCCTAAAACGGGACTTGCAACTCAAGTCTCCTTGCTTTCTAGCCAGGTGCCTTAA